TGCGATAAATAAGTGGGTTTTGGGTTGTAGTTTGGGCACTCGGTCTCTAAAAGGTTTGCCATCACTGCCCTATACTGTTTACAATCCAGTAATAAACTGTATCACCCCATTCTGCACAAGCTCGGTTGCTCTCTATTTTTTGGCAATGTGTCAAAAATCAGAGTCACTAGAGGCCAATCTACTGACAGACTAAAGATTTACTGCTGCTCAGGGGCCCTGGCTTTCAGCAAAATGGCAGCCTTCAGCAAGAAGAAACAGGAGCAATGCTGGAGGCAATTAATAACGCACACTAATTTTGATGCCATAATTATTAATATGGAATGTATGTTCCTTGCTAAAGAACATTGGGGTTGAGTTACTGAAAGTGGAAAATAAAAAATCTGGTGCAGCTCTGCTTAGAAACCAATCAGCTTCCTTTCTTAATTGAACAAGCTGAATTTAGTAGCTGATTGGCTACCATGCACTGCTGCACCCGATTTTGGACTGTCCAGTTTTAGTAAATTATGAACAGGCAAATAGGGAGCATGATTTGTTTAAAGTGACATTAAAAAATAGGCATGGGTAAACCCGTATGATTAACCATTTAACCTCCTCCCGTCAGCCATATAGTAATATGACGGATGCAAGGCGGTTCTCTCATTCTGGGAGGACGTCATATGACATCCTCCAATTCTAACCGGCTCCCGTAGCGCGCAGCGCGGCGATCGACGGTGCGCTGTGTCCCTTGGACACAGCGGATCACCGATCCATGGAAAGAGCCGAAGATGTCGGCTCGGTCATGTGATCAGCTGTGTCCAATCACAGCTAATCACATGTAAACAGGGAAATGCCGGTTATCGGCATTTCTCTCCCGACGAGCTGACAGCTCGAGAGGAGAGGAGAGGAGAGGAGAGCCGGTAATCGGCATTCCTCGGAGGGGACATGTACACAGATCATCAGAGCACTGATGATTTGTGTGCCCTGATGATCTGTGTAGCCCCAGCAGTGCCACCTGTCAGTGTCCATCAATGCCAGCTCTCAGTGCTCAACCATGCCACCTGCCAGTGCCCATCAGTGCACATAAATGCCACATATCAGTGCCCATCTGAGCTTCCTTTCAGTGTTACCCATCAGTGCCAGTCAGTGACACATATCAATGCCAGTCAGTGCCACCTATCAGTGCTGCCAATCAGTGCCACCTATCAGTGCCAGTCAGTGCTGCCTATCATGCCAGTCAGTGCCGCCTATTAGTGTGTATCAGTGCCGCCTATCAGTGCCCATCAGTGCTGCCTATCAGTGCCCGCCTAACAGTGCCAGTCACTGTCACCTAACAGTGTCAGTCAGTGCCGCCTATCGGTGCCAGTCAGTGTCGCCTATCAGTGCCACCTATCAGTGCCATATATGAGTGCTGCCTTTCAGTGCCCATCAGTGATGCCTGTCAATGCCCATCAGTGCCACCTACCAGTGCCTCCTCATCAGTGCCCATCAGTGCCACCTATCAGTGTCCATCAGTGCAGCCTATCAGTGCCCATCAGCGCAGCCTCATTAGCACACATCAGTGATGGAGAAAAATCACTTATTTTCAAATTTTATAACAAAAACTAAGAAAAAATGTTTTTTTTTTAAATTTTCAGTGGTTTTTGGTTTGTTTAAGAAAAAATAAAAAACCCAGAGGTGATTAAATACCACCAAAATAAAGCTTTATCTGTCACAAAAAAATGCTAAAATGTCATATGGGTACAATGTTGCATGACCGTGCAATTGTCATTCAAAGTGCAACAGCGCTGAAAGCTGGAAATTGGCCTTGGCAGGAAGGGGGTAAAAGTGCCCTGTAGGCTAGTGGTTAAGGACCACCTTATAGCAGATGTACTGCTACAGGGCTCCACGCAGTGCAAAATCACATATAAATGCGTAATTATGCATTTCCAGGTAGAGGGAGAGAACTCGCTTCACCCTTCCTGTGCTGTCATAGTCAATCATCAGGTCCTGGCCAGCGATTCATGGCCAGGACTTGGTGATAGGTGGAGAGGCTGACAGGGGAGAGATCTGTGTGTAAACTACACAGGTCTCTCTCCTGCCAAGCAGAGAAATAGAAAGCAGCACATCCCCTAGTAAAAAAAGCATGCAGTAAGCGCAAAACAGTACACTGTTAACCCTTTGATAGCCCCAGATGTTAACTCCTTCCTACCCAATATCATTAGTACAGTGTCAGTGCTTTTTATTACCACTGATCACTGTATTAGTGTCACTGGGGATGTCAGTGGCAGTTAGTTCCCACCCAGTGTCATTTAGTGTCAGAATGCTCGCTGAAGTCTCACTATAAGTCGCTGATTGCCGCCATCACTAATATAAAAAATAAATAAGAATTCCAGTATATAAATAAAAATTCCAGTATACTGTATATAAACCACCATTCGTAGAAGCTTTAACTTTCATGTAAACCAATTTACCGTATTTTTCGCACCATAAGACGCACTTTTTTCCCCCCAAAAAAGGGGGGAAAATGTCAGTGCGTCTTATGGAGCGAATATGGAGCGGCCGGTCCGGTATTTCCACTGCCGCCGTGTCAGAATACCGGGCCGGCCGCTCAGCTCTACAGCGGGACATTATGGAGAGGACTGCTGACCTTTGGGGGGGGGGGAGCGGGTACCTGAATTTGACAGATACCCGCTCCCACTTCCGTGGAGTTGTTCTTTCATCTTACCTGTTCCTCTATCCAGGTCTTCCCGGCTTCTGTAGTGTGGGCATGACAGCCGGGTGCCAAGTGCGCATGCACAGGAAGCGGTGCTTTTTTTGAATGGTAAGGCGGCACCTGGGACACATGACAGATCCCAGAAACCGCTGGACCAATCACAAAGCGCAGTGCTTCTCGCTGGGCACTGGGCACCTGGCTGTCATGCCGAGCACCATTACAGAAGCCGGGAAGACAGCGCGCGGCTGGATAGAGGAACAGGTAAGATGAAAGAACAACTCCGCCGAAGTGGGAGCGGGTATCTGTCAAATTCAGGTACCCGCTCCCCCCCCTCCCCAAAGGTCAGCAGTCATCCCCTGTACTATCCACAGTCTCTGGTCATCCCTGTGCTGTCCGCAATCTCTGGTCATCCCTGTGCTGTCCGCAGTCTCTGGTCATCCCTGTACTGTCTGCAGTCTCTGGTCATCCCCTGTGCTGTCCGCAGTCTCTGGTCATCCCCTGTACTGTGTCCGCAGTCTCTGGTCATCCCCTGCACTGTGTCCGCAGTCTCTGGTCATCCCCTGTACTGTGTCCGCAGTCTCTGGTCATCTCCTGTACTGTGTCGACAGTCTCTGGTCATCTCCTGTACTGTGTCCGCAGTCTCTGGTCATCTCCTGTACTGTGTCCGCAGTCTCTGGTCATCCCCTGTACTGTGTCCGCAGTCTCTGGTCACCCCTGTACTGTGTCCGCAGTCTCTGGTCACCTCCTGTACTATGTCCGCAGTCTCTGGTCACCCCTGAACTGTGTCCGCAGTCTCTGGTCATCTCCTGTACTGTGTCCGCAGTCTCCCATCTGAACTGTGTCCGCAGTCTCTGGTCATCTCCTGTACTGTGTCCGCAGTCTCTGGTCATCTGTACTATGTCCGCAGTCTCTGGTCATCTCCTGTACTATGTCCGCAGTCTCTGGTCTTCTGTACTATGTCCGCAGTCTCTGGTCATCTCCTGTACTATGTCCGCAGTCTCTGGTCATCTCTGTACTATGTCCGCAGTCTCTGGTCATCTCCTGTACTATGTCCGCAGTCTCTGGTCATGTCCTGTACTGTGTCTGCAGTCCATTAGTTCAGAATTTTTTTTTCCTGTTTTCTGCCTCTAAAACCTAGGTGCGTCTTATGGTCAGGTGCGTCTTATGGAGCGAAAAATACGGTATATACACTTATATACATGTAGCAGGATACATTTTGGCCTATATTTATGAAGATATTTTATTTTTTTAAATCTTTTTATTGGGTATGTTTTATGGCAAAAAGTCAAAAAAAAATTTTTTTTTTTTCAAAATTGTCTGTCTTTTTTGTTTATAGTGCAAAAAATTTAAAAAGTAGAGAAGATCAAATACCACTAAAAGAAAGCTCTATTTCTAGGAAAAAAAACAAATTTAATTTATGTACAGCTTTGCCTGACCGCGCAATTGTTAATCAAAGTAACACAGCACCGTATCGCAAAAAAAAATGTCCTGTCACGAAGGGAGGTAAATTCTCCGTAGGACATAAGCATGACCAGGTGACATTCTTTGAGAAATAGAATGCAGAGTGGTTACATTAGAAATTAAAACATTGGCAGAGTACAAATGGAAAATATACCATCACCAATACATTCAAATTATCTACATAAGCGTTAACTGGGCAAGTAGAATAACAGAAATAAAAGATGAAAATTAACAAGTTTCAGATTTACATTCAAGCTTTGTTGTGTGTATTCAACATAAAAAATAATTAGTGCAGCGCAATCTTCATAATAAACATAGTCTGTGATTAATATTAACTCATCCCTGTACATAAATATGTGAAAAATACACAATGGTGTCCATAATTTTAAATAATAGTCCACATATTCAACAACATAACAAGAGTCCAAAACAGGGGCGGACTGACAACTCATGGGGCCCCAGGCAATAGGGCATTATGGGGCCCCTGTGTCCTTGCCCAAACTCAAAAAAGCCTATGAAAAAGGTACCAGGGGCATCTCATGGGGCCCCCTACTGACCCCAGGCCCTCAGGCACTGTCCGAGTTTCCAAATGGTCAGTCCGCCCCTGGACACCCCTAATAAGACTTGCAGCTGGAATTGCAGCGAAAGGTGGTTCTACAAAGTATTGACTCAGGAGGGGTGAATACAAATGCGCACCACACTTTTCGCATATTTATTTGTAAAAAATTTTGAAAACCATATAATTTCCTTCCACTTCACAATCATGTGCCACTCTTTGTTGGTCTATCACATAAAATTCCAATAAAATACATTTACGTTTTTGATTGTTTCCAAATGGTCAGTCCGCCCCTGGTCCAAAATGAATCACCAAAGTGCTTGTCAGTGAAAAATTCTTCAATCAAACAAAATATAAGTGTCACTCGTGCCTCTATTACCAATGACAAATGGACACTCACCTCCAGACCATGACCAAACAGTATGGTCAAAAAATGCTTGTCCCCTTCAAGGGGTAATACTTTGGTGTAGCAGAGTGTCCCTCTCACATCACCTCCACATGTAGGAATACGTACATATAGAAGCCAGAAAAGAGAGAGCCACTAGTGTTCTCCGATTTAAAAATGTAATACTGCTAATACATGTTAAAATTACACTTACAAGATCCAGCACTGAAACAGTGCTAATGAGAGTGCTTTGACATGTTTCGGAAAGAAGCCACTATCAAAATGGCCATGGAATGACGTCACGTGTGTGGCTCCATGACCCTTACAAGTTACTTCCAAGCGGGACTTCTTCAGTAACAATGTATTTTTTCATTTCATTTTTATGTACACGGGTGTGTTGATAATCACAGACTCTGTTTATTATGAAGGCTGTGCTGCACTATGTATTTTTTATGTTGAATATTGGGAGTATTTTGAGATTGTCTTTGGAGTGTTTAGCTTGCAACCTTTTGGCACATTTTATTTTTGTTTAGTATTTCAACTTTATTTTTATTTCCTTTATTCATTGAACTGTGCTGATTTATTATTGTTGATTGTACAATATATATGTAAAGCACTGCATAAATTGATGGTACTATATAAGTACATGTAATCAATAAACAAAAATCATTCGGCCTTCAATACAATAGAAGCATAGGCTACTGTAAACTAGACAAACTAATGCACACCTTCAAAGGTACTTTGAGCTTTTGACCTCTTCACGTTTTCTGTTTAACTGACAGTGACCATGGAGACAGGAAGAGAGAGAATATCTCTCCATTAGGGAAACAGATGCAATTAAGGTCTTTTCCACTCTATACAAAACATTAAATGTTTTCACTGGAATTCCACTATTAAAAATAGGACAAACTTTTCTGTAGTGGAAGTATAACTGATAAAACAAATGTGATTTCACAGTGTTCGGTTTGAACTGAAACACTGTGGCCTAACATGTGACAGATTTACTAATCAAAAACACTCCTATTTCATGACAAATAAAACAGTACATAACATCTATAACGTTCAGTTCATGGCAAATCTACTGTATAAATCAAGAATGAAATGTACATTAATTCCTATAAGAGAAACTTGAGGCAAACATAAAGTTCAATTCATTTGAATGTGAAAAGCCATTAACTTGGCATTGATTTTTGTTTAGGCTTTTAGCTTTTGGAAGTAAACATACTGTTCCAAAAGGTTTTGCTTTTGATATATTGATCTTCCGCTATGGGACGCAAGCAGCTCTGGTCTGTAAAATATTAGCATGTTCTTGTTTTGAAACTAGTGCGCATGAGTGGATAGGTTCTCCTGATGCAGGAGAACTAATCATTTAGGCCCCTTTCACATGGGTGTTCCGTATGTCCGTTATTCATCTGTCTGTTTACGGATGAAAAACGAACACTATGTATTTCTGTGGACTAGCAGATGTAAACGGATGATCCTCTGTTTACATCCGTTAATGTCCGCATCCGTTAACATTGTTTTTTTAACGGAAGAAACCCCTATTTTTCTTCCATTAAAAAATACAGAACAGAGGAAAAACAGATATAAATGGACAAAAATGAATGCAAATGGACGAAAAAAAGGATGTAAATGAACACAAACAGATGTAAATGGATTAAAATGGATGTAAATGCACAAAAACGGATGAAAAACAGATGTAAATTGATAAAAACAAATGAAAAATGGATGTAAATTGATGTAAACTGATGAAAAACTGACATAAACTGATGAAAACTGATGTGAACTGATGAAAAACTGATGTAAACTGATGAAAAAAATGGAAAGCCTGTGTGAAAGGGGCCTTAGTCCACATTCACATCAAGCCGACTTTGAAATCGTGAAGTCGCATGATTTCAAAGTCGGGAACATGCCGATTTCAAGTGTGATTTGCAAGACATCTGACACAGATGTCTATGCAAATAGCATGAAAAGTAGTGCATGTACTACTTTAGAATTCGGTGTGGCTGCGACCAAGTCTGAACCGCTGTAATTTGGGACAATAGGGTGCAACTTGGTATACAAATTGAAAGTTGCCTGGCATGCAAATTGCATGCCAAATCACACCAGATGTGACCAGGGGCTTAGACATATTTCCAGTTCACTGCCTGCCAGCATTTGTGGGAATTGCTGGTCAGCAATGTACTTGCCACAACTGGAATCTCACTATTATTTACTGGTAAAGGGAGTGGGGATTATGTTGTGGGATTTCTGTAATAAAGACTGACATCACATAAATTGTGGAATTCCACTCTATTATCTTCTGCATCCTCTGCAGGTGAGTAAAAATTGTATCTCCATCATGTCCTGTACACTACATGCTGAAGTGCAGCAGTAAAAATGGGTGCTCTTCCCTGTCAAGTGACCCCTAGAGGTACTAGTTTACTATGTACTGGCAGGTAGTAACTGTTTACTCAACAGAGTGAATTGTAGACTGCACTGCTTCAAATCCCCACTAGAGTAAATTTGCTAAGATTTCTACATCACCACCTCACAGGGGTGTCAAACTGGCAGCCCTCCAGCTGTTGCCAAACTACAAGCCCCATAAGGCATTGCAAGATTGACAGTTACAAGCATGACTCCCAAGGGCAGAGGCATGATGGGACTTGTAGTTTTGCAACAGCTGGAGGGACGCCAGTTTGACACCCCTGTGCGAAAGAGTTGTCCTGTCCTGCAATATATGGCCATAAACTTGGTAGACCTCTGTTCAGCTGAGAAGTCTTAATTAACATCACTATGCATACGCTAAGGTGTACATTTATTAAACAGAGATAATTTATCTCATTTCAGTTTTTTGCAGTTCTCAGGGAAAAATCTTCTCCTCTGTCCCCCTGTTTATGAAGTGGAGAACATTTGTTCTCAGAAGGAGAAGAGAGGAGTTTTTGCATTTTGGCACTTTTCTAAACACACATTTAGGAGCTTTAACACACATTTTGGCACAAGTTATTTTAAAATGCATTTTGATGTGGTTTGTAACACACATTTTTTATGTGCATTTTGATTTGGTTTTTATGCATATTCTGGCAAGCTGCACTTCTGCTAGCCACTTTTGGGTGCCATTAACAAATAATGGCATCGCAAACATGACATGCATTTTTCATGCGCTTCCAGAACACACACAAAAACGGAGTAAAAAAAAGTATCCAAAATACGTTTTAAAAAAGCACCAAAATGCATATAAAAATTTCAACTCACATTTTTTTAAAAGCATGGTTGTGCAAGCATCATGATATGGGGATGTTTCTCATACTACGGTGTTGGGCCTATTTATCGCATACCAGGGATCATGGAGCAGTTTAAATACATCAGAATACTTGAAGAGGTCATGCTGCCTTGTGCTGAAGAGGAAATGCCCTTGAAATGGGTGTTCCAACAAGACAACGACCCCAAACACACCAGTAAACGTGCAACATCTTGGTTCCATACCAACAAGATTGATGTCATGGAGTGGCCAGCCCAATCCCCGGATCTTAATCCAATAGAAAACTTGTGGGGTGACATCAAAAATGCAGTTTCTGAGGCAAAACCAAGAAATAGAGAACTGTGGAATGTAGTCCAATCATCCATGGCTGGAATACCTGTTCACAGGTGCCCGAAGTTGGTTGACTCCATGCAACATTCAAACATTTTTCAGTTTATATAGTGAATGTTTGAGTTTGTAAAGAAGAATACAAACACTGCTATATTTTTGAACAGTCTAATATTCACTTTTCTTCAATTTTTTTTAGAGGAACAACACAAATTTGATATATTTTTCTTCATGTTTTGATTTGGAATAAAATGTGTAGTGTTCCCAATGCATTTGTGTGTATGGAAATAAAAGCCATTAGAAGGATTTTGAGCTTTATTCACTTTTTTCAACACACTGCTATTATTTTGAACACAACTGTATATACTGTACACTATATATAAAACACAAATATACATAGATAAACATATATAGTTATAATTCCAGCTCTGGGCTGGAGAATCTGGGATGAAGATATTTTAAAGAGATGTACAGTGAGATCTCCAGATCTCACCTTCATAAACTGGCCATCTCTATAAAAGCGAATGACAGAAGGGTGTGTCCTGTGGTGAGAAGTGAAGAAAATGTTCTCCGCTCCTCATCTCAGCTTCATAAACCTGGGAAGATCAGCTGTGATCATCAGGATCTCAGCTTTTCTCTCTCTCATAAACAGACACCTAAATCTTCTAACAAGCATGTGTTGATACAAGAAGTCCTTGTTATGGTCAAACAAGTGTCATAGCATTTTATGGTTTATAGAACCTTATATAAGAATACTCTACATCAGGGGTCTCCAAACTGTGGCCCAAGGACCAGATGTGGCCCTTTTCTGGCCTTTATCTGACCCTTGGGGCACTATTCCTCCCAATGCTATGAAGCAGAACTCCTCCCACTGGCACCAACAATGGGGCACTATTTTTTCCACTGATAACTCTTATGGGGTACTATTCCCCCCATTAATACCAATGATGGGACACTATTTTTCCTCCTACTGACCACCATCCATGAGGCCTTGTCTATTCTTACTGATGCTGGGCCCAAAATATTTTCTACCCCCACTGGCCACACTCCGACCATTTTAAAGTCTGAAGGACCATAAACCAGCCCTTTGTTTGAAAAATTTGGAGACCCATGCTCTGCATAATATGATAGCTGACTTATTTCCATCGACAAGGAACAGAAGACGTATTTTTGAAAACCAATTAAAGAACATTTTCAAAGATAGAATTGAGTGCCTGAGAGAAACTGAGCAGTTTAAACCTCCAGATCTTTTGACATTTTTTGGAATCTTCAGTGAAAACTGGGGGGGAGACAGCAACAAAAATTAGAACTGGAAGTTCCATTAAGTGGTAGTTCACATGCAGGTGGAAAATGAAAGCTGTCTCAGACCTTACATTGCTTCAGTGGATTCATAAAGAAATTCTGTCAAAATGTGAATTCTTTCCAGTAACTAACTGGCTGTTCAAAGCAAGTACTACTGGAGCTCTAAATAAGA